TGACAGGCTGAATGCCCCCTGCCCGTGCTGCTTTCCATGGCAGAGAAAAGCACACGGCTGAGTTAAAGGCCTCTAGGGATGGAGCCCAAGTAAAAACCTCTGACCCCCTCCCCAGGGGGCTGTCAATCAATCGCCCAACTTTAATCATGAAGTAAATCACTTGAAACTCAACCCTGCGCTGGTTGCTGCTGTGACTCATCTCAGGCTTGCTGCTGGCTGTCTAAATGTTTTCACCAAAGCCATACGGAGTGGAAGTCTCTGGCTATTATACTCCTCATTAACGATACCTGCTTCCCCTGGGCCATGTGTGATGATTAGAGCATCTCCAAGTTTAAATCGAAGCTTTCTCCCTTTCCTTGCTTTGCTGGGTTGAGATCGTGCCAGTCGGGGGTCCTTTTGCTCGGGCAGCGCGGGGTTGATCTCTGGCTCCGCTGTCGTGTGCACAGCTGTGGCAGCGAAGGGACCCCTGGGCAGCGTGGCCACACATGGGCGTCATCCCGCTCCATCCCCGAAGGGAGACCCAGGACTGTGAGCTTGATCACAGCTTTAATAAACCTCCTGCCTTAGGCCCTTGGTGGTGCCAGGCACTTAGGCGGGGTGGAAGAAACCCATTCTGTGCTTTGGCAAAACCATCTCCAGTGAGATCTCTTGCCCAGCTGTCTGCTTGCAGGACGTGCCGAGTTTTAATCCCTCGTGGGCTCCAAGTGTCTGTCCCTGCCATTTGTGATGCTGCATGGTGTCGCTGCCATCGCACAGGTTCATGGGTGCACGGTGCCCTTGGGTCTCACCACCCTCTCAGGAAAGCTGTGATCTGGCCCTTGCCTGTAGCTGCTGGGGTTCGGGAGCCCAGTGTCACCCCCTGTCTGCCTGGAGAAAGCATCTCCTGAGCTAGCAGGGAAGATCCATGCGCATCCCAATCGCTCTTCACAGACTGATCTCATTACATGAGAGGAATTTGTATTGAGAAGGATGTCTGGAGATATCGAGTCCAACCCCCTGCTCAAAGCACGCTTAGTAGTTAAATCAGGTTGCTCACAGCCTTGTCCAGGAGGTATTTTGGACCAAGGATGGAGATCCCACAACCTCTCTGATCCCTGTTCCGATGTCTGAACAACCTGAGGAAAAACATTTTCCTAATATCTCACCAGGATTTCCCATGTTTCAGTTGTGTCCATCACCTCTTGTCCGATCTTTATGCACCTCCGAAAGGAGTCTGGCTCCGTCTTCTCTGCATCATCCCATGAGGCAAGTGAGTACAGCCATGAGATCCCCCTTCACCTTCTCTTCTTTGGGCTGAACAAACCTGCTTCTCTCAGCCTCCCCTCATCCACCCGTGCTCCAGCCCCTGCCCTCACTCAGATGTGCAGTTCTTAGTCCTGAGCAGATGCTGGCAGATGGAAGGAGTCTCCATCAGCAAGTTCATCTTACCATCCCATCAGCTGCACATTAGTCACCTATATGGATTCCTGGGTTTCTTCTGAGGTTTAGCGGATGGTTTTGGTGCAGAGGCGTAGCTCTGTGTCCCCTTGCCCAGGTGCTCCCTCCCAGGGTTCATGGGCTTCGCTTTGCAGGAGCACTCGCCCGGGACTGCCCTTCCTCTGCTTCTGCCCTGAATTAAGCAGCGCCAGGCACATGAATGTCCTCTTAGAGCTTCTTGTCCAGGACATACTGCTTTGGTGAGCAGTGCCCTGGTGTGCCTGAGGACACGTCTTGCCTGAGGGACCCAGAGTGCCATGACCCCGGCCACACCACCCTGAAGGCACATCCAAGGGCTGAGGAGCTTCCAGCTCGAGTCCTGCAACCATTGCTCTGCTGCGTGGTGTAGTTCTGTCCGCTGTGCCCATTTCACAGGATGCTCCCGACCTGCAGTGGGAGGCTGCTGGGAGGTGTCCTACAGAAGGTGACCAGGCAGGAGGGGTGCGTGAGGGCAGCTCCTTCTGAGCAGGGTTGTCCCAGCCATGCTGTATTCCCCATCTCTGATGGGAACCCACCCATAGTTGAGCCAGGAGGTTTCTCACTCTTGTGGGCAGCTGCCTACAGGCTGAAATCGCATCCCAGCCTCCTGCCGCAGGCAGGGGAGAGCAACCCAGCATTGCCACCTCCTCCCTTCATGTACACAGGCAAGGCTTCACCTCTCCCGTCCGGGATGGCTTCTGCTAATGAGGTTCTGGGATGAGAAGGGAGAAGAAGCGATGCTGACATCTGTTTCAAGCCCTTGTGCTCACCCACTGGGAAACAGCTGGCTGATAACCTCAGCCAAATACTTCTGCCACCAGTGATCAAAGACATTCTGGGTTATTCGCCCACCCGCCCAGGCCAGGAGTGGCAGTCCCCCTCCCCCAGGCCCACCCCTGTGCTCCTGGGAGTGATTAGATTTGTCCTTGGCTAATGAAAGCTGCAGTAATCTCATATCTTTGTTTACTGGAGCATCTGTAAAATAATCAGCCTAGTCTGGTCACAGAAGCGACACTTAGAGCAATGCAGCTTTTTTCTGACAGGTCTAGAGCTGCACTGAAGTACAGCCGAACCCCAGGGAGTGGCTGCCTACAAGCACACGCCAGCTGTACCTTCACGTGTGTCATTACCTGTGTGCCCGCTGTCAGCTGCAGGGGGATCCTGCCTGTCCCCGGTGCGTGGCCCCAGCTGCTCGGCAGCGCTGGGGTGGGTGAAACAAAATATCCTGGGCAAGAGGAGCTCTGGGGTGGCAGAGAAGCAGGATGCTTGGGATGAGGGACCACAGCATCATGGTCCCCTAGCAACCGCAGTGCGGTCCCCTAGCAACCGCATCCTGGTCCTGTAGCAACCACAGTCCAGTCCCCTAGCAACCCCCTTCAGGCCCCTAGAAACAGGGCTCAGGGAGGGGCTCCGTGCACATTTGCAGCAGAGGCATTGAGCAAGCGCTGATGGAGGGTGGTGCATCCAGCCCCACGCCTCGTCCAGCCCCTGTATTTGTTGGTCTGTCCTGAACAGGCACTGGTTCCTGAGAGCATCCTAATAGCTTAGAATAGGGAACGGTCGAGGATTCAGCAGGCTGGCGTTGGCTGAATGTGGTCTTTGTAGCTGGGGGAAGAGAGAGAGAATCTCCAAATGGTCCTCATGAGTTTCTAAGCCAGAAGCAGTGGAAAACTATTCTTCAAACGAGTCACGCTAACCCAAACCACTCGTATTTCCACTACTAAACCTTCTCTGCCAGCAGCCTTGGAATCATGCCTCACTCTGAGAATGACTTCTCAAGCAGTTTTACGTGATGGGTAGAGGACCAGTGAGTGCAGAGTGGTTTGTCTTGTCCCTTAATGCCTTCCTGACCTGTAACGCTCAGCACTGGCCTGCGTCCTGTTTGGGATCCCCAAGCCACATGCTCCATTTCTGACACCTCCCGTTCCCAGACCTCGGCTGCTCAGAAAATCCTGCTTCCAGAGCTGGTGCTCCTTGGCTGTGCTCTCCTTTCTCCCTACACAGGGAAAGTCCAGGGCTGCAGGAAGGCAAAGTCTTGGAGAGAAGATGTGTCCTGTGAAGATTCAAAGGAAGCAAAATTTGCCCCTGAAGTTTGTGATTTTTAATGTTTTCTCATAGCCTGGCTTTGCTGTAGCTGCTGAGCCCCCCCTCCCCAGGCTGGGCTGTGTGCACTGCGCAGGAGAGCCAGATTAGCCCGGCTGTGATAAATGTGCTGCTGCAGGTCACTGATAACAAGCTCAGGGATGTGTCTCTGCGAGCCAGACCAGGCTGGGGGGTGGGAGCTGGGGTGGGAGCCAAACGGCAGCTATCCCCATGAAACGGGCTGGGAGCTGCTGTGGGACGCGCGGGCTCGCCGGCACTGTGTGAATCAGCACAGCATCCTTGTGGAAATGAGTGCTACAGTCTGGTGTAAGCCAGTGGGATGTCAGAGGGACAGCTGTGTGCAAAGCAGGGCGGGGGCAGAGCTGGTGGTCAGAGCAATGGATCGAGGTTGCTGGGCTCTTGTCCTGTCCGTCCCCAGTATTGCCACTGCACTCTTCTAAAATATAAATTACAGCTCCTCTTTCCTGCATTTTGCTGTGTGGGTCTTGCCTCTTGCCCTGAGCAAATGACATCCCCTTTCCCTGCCTCAGTTTCCCCAAATGGGTTATAGAGGTGATGCTCACCGCTCCAGAGGATGGGGAAGCCAAACTGGCCTGCTGGGTACCATGGGGGCTTTTTCCCTGGGGAGCTGGGAAGGATGGGGGGATCTTCATCCAGCCTGTGATGGAAAGGGACCAGCTATGGGAGCTTCGCCTCCGCAACTCCTTAGGAGGCCCCTCCGTGCTATATGGGCCCAGAGTTTGGTCCTGGCACATACTGGAGGATAGGGTCATGTTTCTGGGTGTCTGTCCATATGCTGGAGACGCCTGAGGCTTATGTGGTTCTGGAAAAAGAGAGAGAGATTCCTGTCCTTCCCTCCAGCAGTTTTTAGGTCCCTTGGCCTCCTGCTGTTCAGCAAAGGGGAAGACCCCTGGAAATTTGGGGCTTTCTCAGCAGTGCAGAGCCTGCCACAACGCTGGTGTGAGCAGGGTGTGCTGCAAAGCCAGCACAAGCAGGCGAAATGATGCTTGTTTCTAAGGCTCAGAGAGCTGCAAGCTCAGATGAGGTGGCCTGCTGGCCTCCGAGGGCTTCTTTCACGCAGACACTTCATGCATATTGCATGCGGGTTTGGAGCTGTGCTCAGCAAGCCGAACCGGCTTTGATGCTCACGCAGCAACGAGCAGACCCGTTCCAGTGCCCAGCCTCACACAAAGCAAAAATAAAGGCAAAGCACACATCAGCAGCTCACTGCCCTTGCATATGTTGGTGACTTTCCATGTGCCTGTTGGGCTGTCTCCTCTTGCAGCACCCAGCAGCATAGCAAGAAGCCCGAAAACGAGTTTAAAACTGCACATGCTTAGTGGTTTTGCTGTTTTGCTGGTCTGGTATTTGCGGGGGGGTCCCCCGTGACAGCCCCATGGTCCCTGTTGTCCTCAGCACGTGTTTAACATCTGCTGGCTAACATGGCTCCCGTTTCGTTTGCAGAGGACGAGATTGTTTCCATGGCTGACTCGACCACCACCATTGACGACATTGAAGGGGAGCTCTTCAAGATCGAGAGGATCAGGGAGATCCTGGTGAGGAGGGAGTCAGAGCTGCGGTACATGTGAGTACCTGCCTCCTCCCACGCTGTCCCCGCTTCCCAGGGTCACCCCAGCGCTTTCTGCCTGCCCGATCAAACACGGATCTTCCCTGCGGATGAGCAAAGCTGTGGCCACTTTCCACCTCGTTTTTCACCTGGAAGCGCAGCCTCTTCCACTGCTCTGGCCTTGCTCTCGGAAGGGGCTTGAACGGGTCCCTGTTACGAAGCTGCCACTGACGCTGGGATAACCTGAGCTATGCAAACAGAGCTTATGGCACGGGTTTAACTACACTAAAATGTTTCCATATTCAGCCACAAGCACCCCATCTTTCCAGCGGGTCCATACTCTTTACTCTTCCTCAGCGCACGGCTCTTGGGCTGCCCTTGGGAAGGGACCTGAGGTTTGGTGGCTCTCTGGAGACAGCGCTTTGCCCCAGCACGCAGGTCTCTGGCCGTTGATCACACGACCACAGTTTACTCTCTCCACGTTGCAGTATTACACGTCCTCCCAGCTCCTCCTTCGCTCACCCATCCCCTGGCTGCCGGGGGACACCAGGACACATCGGGGCTGGCCCAGCATTGGCGCCCGATGCCCGTCTCCCCACTGCGCCCTGCTCTCCCCTCCCAGCACAGCCTTTGCAGCCAGATGCAGAGCAAATTCTCCAGGGCCCATTTCAATAATCAAAGCAGTTTTTGAGTAAAAATCCGGAGGCCTTTCACATTTAAGGCAATCAAATAGTCACTGTGTTGCAGTGGTACTAGCCAGCACTCAAGGTGATAAAGAACATTTTCCCTGGGTATATCTGGGAGGAAAAGGATGGACTAGCATTCATAGCCTGTTGATTAAGCTTTTTAATACCCCTAAATTGCTGTAGTCAGCCCAGTCCTGAGATCCCATGCTGTCAGGTCAACACAAAGCCTGGGATCTTTTACTGGTAATGGCAAAAATCACATTTACTGGGCTGCAGCATTTGATATGCTGCTTTTTTAGTGTGTCTGGGTCCCCACTGGTACCTGCGCTACAGGGATCACCAAAGCCTGGAGATGCCTGTGTAAATCCGCTGTCTGGGGGAGCGGTGAGCTGGACTGTGGTTTAGAGGCTCAGATTTGGGGTGATGACCTCTTTGAGTCATGGTTCCCCCTGAATATATTGTTGAAAAGGATTTTTGGAAGTCATAAAGAATGTAGTTCTTAAATGCTTTCCATGGCAACCGGTACCTAAATCTCACAGGTGCTGTCAAAACTCACATCTCTTGCTTTTTCTTATCCTTTTGTTTGTTTTCTTCCTTGGCTCGCACTTGGAAAACAAAAGGAACTCACCTACAGAAGCCAGATACTGGGGTGGATACGGATGCAAAAGCAATCACTTGGAAGTTGGAAACGCCAGGATTAGGTGTCTGAGTGGTTTGGAGGTGCTGTGGGGAACTTGAGCATCGGCTCTGCAAAGCGCAGCAGCAGGGAGGAGCACGGCTCTGCAAGGCAGGGAAAGCTGAGGGCTTCCCTGAGCATCGCTGCTGGAGAAGAGGGATCCCCAGACCTGGGGTCGGCAGGACAGGGTTAAAAAAGTTGGGGACCTGGGGCGGAAAGGGGCTTTTTTCCCAATAGGTAAAAAAAATGTAATATTTAGGATCGATTGGACTGTGGGGCTCAGGGTGATGGACATCTCCAGTGACGTGCTGCCAAACAGAAGGGTGACCTGTCTGGTCAGGCGATAGCGATCAGTGTTTTCTTCTTGTTGGAAATGTCAAGCTAAAACGTTCCAACATTTCGGAGGTGTCTGTGCTGTGGAAAATGATGACGCTCCCAATATTTCTCCTTTTATAGGGCAAAAAGAAAGGTCTGAAATTCCTGTGGGAGATTCAGCTCTGCACCTCGCCGGCTCAGTGCTCTGATCTGCTCCCGGGGCCAGACAGGGGTAGCACGGCTACGGCTGATGCTGCAATAAGCTTTATCACCAGTGGTAGAAATCATCTCAGCTCCAGCAGGAGCCTTCTGGATGCTTGTCTTTTCAATCTCGCCCAAGTTTTATTGAAATGAGAATTTTTATTATTGCCCATTTATTAGTCTCATTATCAGTTTTTACAGAATTAAATTCTAATTTCATTTAAATAATATTTCAGTTATCATTTGACTGTTTATTTTAATTTTACTAAGTGTATCACTAGCGATCAGCCTGTTGCCCCTGTGTCCCATGCAGACCCCCCCACTGGTGCTCTGTGTACAAGCTCAGGGCTCAGCCCCCGTAGGACAGGCAATAAAAGGACAAACAGACCTCCCTGTTCTCCACGTGCATGTCCCAGACATCGGCATTGGTGGACCCGCTCGGTGCGGTATGCAAACAAATGAAGACACTGCCAGAGCAAAAATCTGACAGAGCCAAGAGGAGGTCTTCTCCTCTGCCTAGGATGTTCTTCTCCTACAGCAATATCTCACAGGTTCCCTCTTCGTCGGTCTGTTTATTTTTCCCTTCCCTAATAAATATTCCTGGTGTCCTCGGCTCAGCTGACAAAGCTGCATCTTCCAGTAGCTCCAGCAAATATGACTCATCCCAGAAGGGGTGGACGGCATGACTCAGTGGAAGGGCCAGCAGGATTACTGAAGATGCAGACAGGGCTTTTAGTAACGCACACTTCAAAGGGAACCAAAGGCACATCTGCTCGAGGTGGCACCAGCTCATGAGTCAATCATGTATTATCTGTAGACACAGACTATGTATTAGGGTTTCTCGTCACTCACAGCCATACAGCTTGCTACAAATCTCAGCTGTGCTCTTCCAGGTTGGATGATTTCCCACGTGCCCTGCAAAGCATCCAAGGAGTCCTTCTGCATCAAAGGCTTGGACGACCTTGGGAAGCTTGTGCTAAGATGCTGGGGTGCTTGGTAGGGCTTAGGAGGATGTATGGTGCCTCTGTCTGTGTGGAAAACGCATTGGCTGATTCCTTGTAGTCAACATCTGGATATGCTGCTCCTCTTGGAGGCTCAGTCCAGATGGGCCAGCCACTGTGTCCTGTAGCATTGGTGCTTATCAGCTTCTTCATGAAACTGGTCACTGAATATGATGTTTAATGGGGGCAAATGCTTCCCATCCCATCCCATATAGGCAAGGCACTGTGCACAGGGCAGCGCAGGGGCAAATCCTGTATGGACACGTCTGGTCTCCAGCTGAGAGGTTTGTGCCACCAGATATTTTCTCAGCACAGAACACTCATGGTTCAGTGCCCGCGTCTGTTCTCTAAAACATCCAGGGCTGCAGTCACAAGTCTCTGAGGTCTAGGGAGCCCTTAGATACAGGTGTTCCTGAGGTATCAGTGGATTAGCTGCACTGTCATAAGGAAATGCTTCTGGTCAGAGTGTCCACATCTACCTCAAAGTGATGACTGGAACCTCCTCTTTTGCTGGTGGAGCTGCTCAGCACCATTTGAATGTGCTGCCTGACCCCAGACCCTCTGCCATGGGGCTTCTGGTGCCTTTGCTGGCTCCAAGCTCCTGGAAGATGTGTACTGAGAGCATGAGGACTGATGTGTCAATGAAGGGGTTGCTTCATGAATGCAGCAACTGAGCAATTTCTGGTCCTGGGGGTGTGAGAGCCTGTTACACCTGGAAAATCTGGAGCTGGATTTTGGATGGAGACACTTTCTTTTAGCTTCAGGCAGGTAAAAAGGGGTGGGGAGATGCCAGATGGCCTGGCCAGAGTGGCTCAGCCATGCCAAGGTAAGCCTGGAGAAAGAAGGGAAGCATTCCAAATCCCAGCTCAGCAGTCCAACCCTGATCAGGAGATTCAGCGCCTTGCCATAGGGTGTGGGGGCTTTAAAAAACTCTTTTCAAATGAGGCTCGGGATGCCACATCAGAACATTGGCTTTTCCTAATCTTCTCAGTGAGGGATAATGTGTGAGGAGCCCAGGGAGGGCTCAGAGCAGGAGCAAAAGTGTCAGATGGGTTGGTCTCATCATGCTTTGGTTGGAGATGTGGCTGGCCCTAGGCTGATGCAACCTTGGAGACTGCTGGAAGGGCAGATGGTGCTGGGCAGCCCTTGGGTCACTGCTCACTGTGTGTATGAGTTGCTGGCAGAAAGTAGGAGGACTTTGAGGAAAGGACCCTAAAGGGCAAAGCAAGGAAGTCTCTAAAGCCAGAGGCTGCTGGCATGAAAGAGGTCAGGAGGTGTGGAGCACGGCAGGCAGACCAGAGACAGCTCTGGGGGTTATTGGAGTCGTGACTCGTCTCATCTTCTGTGGTGTTACCTAGCCAGGGGAGATCCTCAAGGATGGCTTGGTTCGTGGTGGAGAGAGGTCTCATCCATGAGCACTGGGGTTTCCCTCACCACGGGTGAGTGCATAAAGCTCTTCAAACTGAAGCACTGATGCTCATCATGGCCAGACATCATTGTTCCTTGGACTTGTCCAAGCAGGGCTTTAGCGAGGGCATAGGCACGTGATGTTTTAAAAATAAATTAATAAATAAATTGGGTTAAGTCTTCTCTGCCAGCCCTAGTGAGCAGCGAGCAGCACTTGAGCTGGTACACCCATGGAGGGGACTGAGTGTCTGTGGTGCTTCCGAGACATGATCAAAGTGTCTCCAGCATGGACAGGGCCACGCATCCCCCATTCGCTCCATCAGCAGCTGGCACTGACATTTGAGTTGAGCCCATCCTGATCCGTATCTTGCTGCTGTCGTCTGGTTTGAGCCAGAGATGATTTCATCGCCCGCGGCTTCGGCAGGCTTCTTTTCTCCTGTTGAAATGACCTTGTTTCTCAGCGGACACCTGCAAAGTTTGCACATTTCTCCTCTCTGTTGTGTTTCATTTTTCGACCTTTTTTTAACTCTGCAGAAAGGCAGTACAAAAGAAGTCAGATCTTTTTATGTGGCAGCAGCTTCCATTTTTTTTGATTTTGCTGTTTGGGGATTATTTTTTGGGAGAAGGAGAAACACAGCTGCTATTGCATGGTGGATGTGCCAGGTTTTAATAAGGCTTCATTGTCATTAGAGTGATGAAACTTTTTCTTTGCCAACAACCAGTGACACAACCCGTGTAGCTCCAACAAAAGCTCTGAGATGAAGTGGGCTGCTGTTTCCTGGGGGAAGGCAGGTAAATCTGTGCTCCCCGCCACGGGCACTGAGTGCATTGCCTTCCAGTGTTGGCTGGGTGTTGCTCTGGAGGTTGTGAACCTTTCCTCTCCCAGTCTTTCCCACCGTGGTTTCATTTGTGTCTTTGCAGGATGGATGACATTCAGCTTTGTAAAGAAATCAGCCGGCTGAAAAAGGAGCTTCAGAAACTCATAGCCCTTCCAGGTAAGGCTTTGTAAAGCTTCAGAGAGCTGCACCCTGCCGCTGCAATCAGCAGAAAGGTTTCCATGAAATACAAGAAGCTCTTGAACAGCTCCCACCCCAGGATGCTCCCAGAGACACTGCTGCTGCAGTGCACGAGCATCAAGAAATATGGCTCCTTGGGTCTGACCTGAGCTCTTTCTTGAGAGCTTTGCTGTTTGCAGTACTGCAGAGAGTCCTTGTCCAGGCCTGGGCTGAAGGGCAGAGGAAAGAGAAAAGGAAAAAAAACATGAGTCCTTTGAGGAAGAGCATGGGTCTGGTACAGGAGGAGGACAGGAGCTGAGTGAGGTGGCAGTGATGAATGCTGACACGGTGGGATCTGCCACGTACGCTGAGGAGGATCCCCAAATGACCTGAGAGGACAAGAAGGGGACATTGTCAGCCCACACCGTGAAGGGGCCCCTTTGGAGGTAGCAGGAGAGGAGATGCCTTCAAAGGCCTCAAGTACGTGAAAAGCAATGAATTCTTGCTGTGGCCATGTCAGAAATGTGTGTCAGTGATGGGGCAGATGGCAGCAGCTGCCAGGGAAGGATTCCTGGTTGCAGCCAGGTCAGGACAGGTGCTAGGGGATGTCATGCCAAAGGGGGTCAGTGATGTCCCTGATTTAGGTGAATTCATTGTTCAGGATGTTGAAAAGCAGCAAACAGTCCAGGGCAACATATATGAAAAGGAAGGAAACGCTGCTTTTGTCCTCCCTTTACCATGACCAGTGACCCTCCATGTCCCTGTCGCAGCCAGAGCCACCCTTGACCCTTCACAGCCCAGGAAAGGCCAAACCTTGGTTCACTAAAAGATCCCCCTCAGCCAAAACATTCAAATGAAAGCACACGCCAAACAGCTCAGGGTTTGAATGAGAACAAGCAAGAAAGGCTTCCCCACAAGCTGTGTCCATCACTGTTCATAAGGCTGTGCCTCCTCCTAGGACATCTTCATTCAGCCCCCATAAGGATTTTGTGTGTTTTCAGAACAAGTGGGAGACATATCCCTGCTTGTTTGTACCCATCCAAGCATTAAGATCTGGACCACCACAAGTATCTCTCTGAAGATGCTGCCCTCACCGAGACCAATGAGCGTGTAGCGGGGGGGATGCCTGGATGCAGACAAGGGACCAGCTGTGCACATCTGTTTCCCAGAGCGGCAGCTCAGCTCATCGGTTCTGCACCCAAGGTTATCTCAAAGCTAAGGGTGGCAAGAAACCTTGACGCTTTCTAATGCCGTAGTTTCGCTGTGCTGTGTGTGCTTGTGAATCTTCAGCATGCAGTTAGCGCCCAGCTGCTGCTTCATATGCAGGTCTTGATCAGTTTAATACAACCTGGCTGCATCCAGAGGGAGGTTCAGACAGGGGAGGGGAGGGTTCTGCCATAAAGATGTGAGCTGCTTGCAAAACGTAGACCCAAATCTCATGTGGGCTTTTAATTCAAATACCTAGTTTATAAAACAAGGCTTGACCTAAATGATGGCTCAGGACTAGAGATAAACTTAGCCTTTTCTGAAGCTTGAGAAATGGGGCTGGCTTTCCTTCATTTGCTTTGGTCTTTCATTTCTAGCCTTTTCAGCATTCCCAGATTCAACTGAGAGCAGAAATGCTGCTTGCATCAGGGATGCTCTTTTTATTTTCTTTATAACTTGGCTAAAATCAGACTGTGCTGGAGAAATCCTTCAAATCATTGGTCTTGTGAGATGACAGAAGCAGATCATTCATAAAAATGGGCATTGAACTTTGGTTCGGATAAAGATTCAAACACGTCAGTGCTTGCTCAGAGCTCAGCCAGACCTGTGGCTTGAAATCTCATCAGACCAAGGTGCCTTTAATAATTCAGGGAGATATTGTGGTCATGATGGACTCTGACATCAGCAAGTCGGAAAAAAAAGGTGCAGTGTTTATACAGCGGGTATCTTAACTCTGACATGCTCTAACTCAGGAATGCAGATTGTTAATTAACTCCAAATAGCTGATATGTTTGTGCACAGCCTGATGTTTCCGATTTGTATGGCATCCCAATGACACTGTAAAGTGCTCCTATTCCCACCAGACAGGTGGGAGCTGCTGCACAGAGAGTGCCCACGGCCAGGGGACTTTGCATTAACTCTTCATGGTAGAAGACCAGCCGCTGTGGCCCAGACCTCAGCCCAGATCAGCTTTCTCTGCCAGGAAGCTTGAGCTCACTCCCTGCACAAGACCACAATTGTAGGAGAAACCTTTGTTTTCTGGGGATGTTTCTAACATGATGATTATGAGAAGTTCCTCCTACTCAGTCCCCTGCAGCAGCACCTCCGATCGATATATAGCACACTTTAAACTACAAATCAATACATAGTTTAGGTAACTGCTGAGATCCAGCCTACAGGGTTTGCTCCATACTGTGAATTTTGCTGCATTTTTATTTAGCTGAAGGAAGACTGGAGATTGATCCATCCTGTGCTGGATTGATTTTGGAGCTGGCTACTGAATTCAGAAATGGTATTAAATATCAGCAGCACAGACAGTCATAGTTTCCACCTAAGGTAGCTCTCCATTTATATTTAACACTCCTTAGCCCTATCTCTATCATCTTCACGTATCCCACTTAGCTTTATGTACCAATTTATATAGGACTTCATAATGATGTGAGTTTTCAGGCCTTCACTAACTCACTGTCCAAAGATATGCGGCACAAGTGGGTCCCACCATGCTTAAGGTAGGGCCGTCTCGGAGTTCAGGTGACAACCAAAATAGCCTGGCAAACACTTGTGGTCATCCTTGCCGCTGGGGTGGGAATGGGGCTGACAGTGGTTTGAAAGGTCAGACGTAGAGGATGAGATCCCAGGGACCGTGTTCAGCAAGGGAATAAGGCTACAAAACCACTGGATCATATTGGTTTTCATGTCTCTGTATGTATGGGATAAATGGTGGTGTGAGGTGTTCCCAAGGCATCTGGGTGTTGCTGATAATTCCCTCTGCACCTGAATCCCTGGCTGGTTTCTCAGCCACATGGAGGACCTGGCTCAGAGGTCTCTGGACCCCTACCCAGCTCAGGGCCGAGCTGAGACTGGTTGGGTGTGCTGGCATGGGAAATGCAGGTTAAGCACATCCTGGATGAAGGATGACATCCAAGTCTGACATTTCTGAGCTTGGTACCCAGCCTCTTCAGCAGTGCAGCATGAAGAACCCAGGTGAGCCATGGTCATCTTCCACCAGAGAGATCACCTGGTTGAGGGGCCCTTCCTCTGCTCTGCAAAGCTCACAGTTGCATCTTGCTGTGCTCAGGCCCATGAAAATTTTAGGGAGAAGCTAAAAATTCGAAGTTTGATGACACTAGGCCTATGTTCTACCAGCCAGGGTGGTTTGGAATGAGGCTGTTGCTTATTTAGCAGCCAGTATTGGGGTCCAGGTGCTTACTTTGGGTTGGCTTTTACCCCTACTCTCACATCTGCTCCTGGGTCAAGCAGAAGCAGAGCAAGCTTGGCCTTGGCATGGGCAGGATGGTCCCTGTTGGTGTGTTAAATGTGTTCCCTGTGCTGCAGAGAACGAGAAGTCCAACGAGGAGAAGCAGAGGGAAGAGGAGCTGGTACAGCAGATACACAAGCTGGTGGAAACCCGGGATTTCCTGGTGGACGATGTGGAGTTTGAGAGGCTCAGGTAGCTGGGTGCAATCTGTGCAGTCTGTCCTCTGATCTGTATCATGCCTTGGCAGATGGGCCTGAATGCCTTGCTGCTCCTTTCCTGAGTGCTAACCAATCTCTTTGCCACAGGGAAAGGGAAGAAGACAAGGAAATGGCAGAGTTCCTGCAAAGTAAGCTCTCCAAAAGCTACCTCCAGAAAGCAAGTAGGTGGTTGATGAGTTTTATTCCTTGCATTGAACCACCCTGGCAGTTTCTCCCCTTTCCCAAGCACTCTCTCCCCAAGATTTCATTGCTCTGCATGGGCTAGCTTACCTGGAGACCATCTGTTGCTGGAGGAGGATGTGGGGAAACGGCAACTGGGGGATGCTGGTGCTTGAGATCACATTGTGGAAACATCCCGAACCAGTTCAGATGCCATGCTTCCATTTCCCTCCTGGCATTTCCCAGCCAGCATGTCCTATGAGAAATGGGGATGGGTAGGTGTCCTTTTATGGCTGCTGTACTTTGTCTGACCCTTTCCAACCAGCTCCTTATACTTCATCACACCATTAGATAAGGTCACAAGTTGTGGTATCCATCCAGTCCTCCTTTTTTCATGGCCTCTGATGGCTACCCTCTTCCCTGTGCCTCCATTATTGCTGGAGGAACACCTCGCCAGTGTGGTAGGAGGCATTTCCAGCCCAGAGTCCCTGTGCCTGTGCCTGTAGCACACATGGTGATGTGCCTCCGGGATGCAGGAGCACATGCCCAGCTGTGGGTCTGAAGAGGGTCAGCATCTTAGCCCTGAAAGGAGCTCTGAGAAGAAGTGATGGGCCTGTGCTCTTGTCACCAGGCAGACACTGATTCCTCTTTCCGTAGCTCCTGTCAAAGAAAAGAAAATGACTTCCAGGGGGCAGCAAACCTCTGCACCGTACATGACCAAAACGGGCCTCACCCTGCTCAAGGAGTGCTGTGGCTTCACCTGCTCCATCATGTAGGCCAGCCCCCAGCTCCTCTGCACAGGACATGACCATGGTAGCGTACACGTCCCGGGAAGCTGGGCCGGGCAAGAGGGGCTTCCTTGGCGTGCTGAAACAGCCAAGTGCCTGTGTGGGGTGGGTGAATGCTGATGTCTGGGAAACACACAGCTCCTGGTGCTGCAGGTGTGGGGTGTGAGGGACCACCAGGCTGCAGCCCTGCTCCGGGGGGCTGCCATCGGGGAAAAGTGCTGGAGCTCGACCGAGTCCTGAGAGAGGGTCTGGAAGGGAAGCAGCAGTGCTTCTGGCTGGGAGGAGGATGAGGGGGTGGAGGGGGAAGAGAGGTGGAGGGCAGGGAGGAGCGGGGCCAGGCACACAGCACGTAGTGTACCCCAGGCACCAAGGCATCTCCTTGTAAGCACGTACAGGAGGGAGCTGTCGGTCAGATGTACCACTGCTGTGCACACCTGGTGCTCATGGAGTTACACCACCAATGCCTTTGTCTTCTCGTAGCATCTTCTCTGAAAACCTAAGAAGCCATCAGGCCTTTCTGTCCTTGAGGGTCCTCACGTGCCTTCTCGCTTACCCTCCTGCCCGCTCCTTTTCAGCAGGTTGCAGTTAAATCACTGGCATCTGCTGACAGCCACAGGTGCCCAGCTGTAAAGTGATGTGCCCATTATCTTTAAAACAGAGTTTACTAAGGGCCAGGCTGTGTCAGTTGTGCAGGACTGTCCTCTGGCTGCTGAGGGGCAACCAGACATGTCCCTGTCCATTTGCCAGTGGTTCAGGACATAAACCCATTCCAAACATTGTCACTTTGTAGAAGTCTCAAGGAGTGGCAGACCCATAGAGAGGTGCTTCTTGCCAGGGCAGCCTAGTGTGGACTTCCCCAACTTATCCCAGGAGAAGGCTGAAGTGACCAGGCTCACAGAGGTGGGTGGTTGGATCCCCACTAGACCAGCTCTGCCTGGCCCAAGCTGCCTCCCTACTCTTATGCCTATGCATGACACTTCTCCACAGCACATGCTGCCAAAATTGATGTCTGTGGGGTGCAGACAAGTCAAGCAAGGCCTAAACAGCTTGGTGTAGGATGGAGCAAAGGCTGAACTGGTGATAGCTGATGAGCTGAGCTCACTCCTGCCAGAGTGTGATGAGGACACACGTGAAGCAAGTCATGTCTGAGATGAAGTTATTTCTATGAGGATGTGCTTTAATACAGTTGAAGTGAAATTCTGGGCTCCAGCACCACAAATCTGAGTCCAGACCTTATAGGTAATCACAGGGCAGCTGCAAGGAGATGAAACCACCCACCCACTGAGCTCCCACCTTCCTCCATGCCTGGGCTTCACTCAGTAGCTGATGAACATGGCCAAAGCTGAGTGCTAGGTCCCGACTGACAGCATGTGTGACAAGCACTGTGTGAGAGGAAGATGATGGTAATGGAAGTCCAGTGGGTTGTAGTGTCTGTGGGAGGATACATCTCATCCTTAATATTCCTGGAGACTTCCATTGTGGCAGATGCCCTGACACCCAGGAGTTAGTCTCACTGGCATTAGGCACTCTATAAAGCAAGGTTGGCTCTCCAGCCATTGGAGAAGGGCGGCACCAAGGGGATCCCATGGTTGCAACCCATGGTTTCCTATCTCTTGCCTTTCCTTCCCAGGTCTCCAGCCAGAGTCCACAATCTGCTCTCCTCCGAGAGTTTCAACTTCCCGTCATTGTTCATGCTTCCCACTGCAGCACCACCACCGAAGAGACTTCCCAAGCAGGCTGGTGCAAACTTGAATGATGGCATGTGTCTTTGGTGCCACATCAACGGTTGTCTCCTCCATGACATCAACAAACACCGAATTCCACCCAAGCTCAGCTTGGAAGAGGTGTGTGCAGCAGCGGCAAGCGAGTCCATGACAAAGAGCACCGGTGCAGTCCTTCACCTGGACAGAGTAATAAAAAAAGCACTGGGAGCTAATGTTTGGAGAACATTGTGCTCCACGATCCAAGACATGCTGTGGCCACAGATGATGTCTCATCCTTAGCCTTGTACCACCTTGTGAGTCTCTGTGGGATGATTCCTGAGGACTCTTCGTGGGGAATGTCTCTGGTCTGGGTTTTGTTGTGTTCGTATTGGTTTTATTGCAAGGTGCTCTATGGCTCTGGGTAGAGCTGAGCAAAGCGTGAAGGGCAATCCCCAGAGCCGGCTGAATGAAGGGCTAATTCTTGTGAAGTTATCACCCAAGCACAGACCTGGTGTGTTGAACTAAGGGCAGATGAGTTGCTTTCCCCACCTCACTATTACTGGATTCAGCTTTCAGCTCCAAGAAAAAGGAGGAAATTAGAGCAAAGAGAAAAGGAGAAAAATTCAGAAGAACAGGGCCACATGCAGAAGGAAATGAAAACCAAACAGGAGTCTGGAAAAGTGGAAGGGGAAGGTGGAGACAGCAGGTGAGAGACACTCTCACTGCCAAGAGGGCATTCAGTCCTGCCCTCCAGTGCCCCAGCCAGTGCCTCTGGGCTTGACACCATAAGCTGGACATAAAGTCCTGTGCAAAAGACTCACAGCACCCTGAGGTCACCCAGTGTCTCAGTTCCTGTTGTCCCTTCTAAGCATCCACCTGTGTCAAGGTAGCACAGCCAGAGCTGCTGGTGCCCATCGCAGCAGGACAGGGGCTGTCTTTCTTGTTGGGTGTGAAGGCCTCTCACATCTCCTGCCCTGCACTTCTTCCCTGTAGGCTGCTATGGCTTTACTGGGTGTCCTGGGGTGCCCTCCCATTTGGGTGGCTGCTCAAGAGCTCTCTTTGCCCTCTGGCCAAAATGCTGATTCCTCCGGCTCAGTCCTGCTGCATCTTTCTGTAGGCTCTTGAGATGGTGTCCCTGCCTGGGTCACTGTCCAGCATGCCTGTGCCAGTGAGATGGTCACAAGGCATCTGGCTCTTTCCATTGCACCTGATAACACATTCATCCTTATCATACACAATGCAGGTGGGATCCTTCCTAATGCAATGCCATAAGCAGGTCCAAGTTCCTCCTGCATTTCTTTATCAGCACTGCCAGAAAACCCAGTGTGTGGGAACCTGTTCTCTAACCTTTGCTAGGGGGTCTCCACTCACTTGTCTTTCCTGAGCAATCTCCCTCATATGGATCTTACCAGCAGCCAGAAAAGTCCACAAACTAAACCAGTCCCTCTGCACATTCACAAACCAGGGTGCAAGGCCCGAATGGGCACCTGGTCATCTCTAGCAAAATTGGCCCTGCTTTGGTTCATGTCAACTCTGTGTTGACTTCAATGGTCTCAGTCTGAAGCCTGCTTACATTTTGTGCTGCTTATTGTTAATGACCTACAGCATCCTACAAACACCACCTGCCAGTTCTTGGTGCTGTCCTTGGTTGGGGGAGGCTTCACTGTGAGCTGGAGGGAGCACCCTGTAGATCACAGGGGCAAATTAAGTCACAGAGAGCTCCTCTCTGCTTTGCCAACCCTGTGTAATGGAGTGAGGTGCAGTACACAGTTGGGGCTCTTGTCCAAGCAGGGGTGACAGGCCATCATCAGTAGCATCCATCCTGGAGCTGATGGGACAGACTGGGCCACTCACTCCCTGCTTTTCCAGAAACTGTCCAGTGGCTGCTTTGCTTGGTCACTCTGCCGTCACGCACGTGGTACAATACTGGTGTTTGTTTTGATCCACACAGACCAAAGGCTCAAGACCTAGAAGGCCCCCCTCACTGTTCTTGCCTTCCCAAGGTCTTCTTGGGAAGGGTGAATAACTGAGCCAGCTTGTTTGATTGGACCAAGAGTGAGCCAAAGGCAAGGAAGAGCCCTTGATTCAAAACTTTTTCCGCTAATTCATCCCTACCTCCACCCCACAAGGCCCCTAGGCCCAGACTTCAGCTGCTGAGCAGTGCTTGGGCAGGCAGGGACGATGGCCGCGGAGAGATGGGCAAGGTCCTGTCCTGTTTTGTTCTGTGTTTGCTGGCTGTGTTTGTGTGGCTGGTCATGGAGAAGGAGACAGGCTGCTGTCCTGGTCATACGATGCTATTTGGCCTGTATTTTAACTGATGGCAAAGGTGTGCAGCACACGGGAGCGACACTGTTTCATGTGCATTGATTTCAACCCAAACAAATAAATGTCTGTTGGAAGCCTGGTTTGTAGATATCTTCCCCACCTGGGACCTGTGCAGAGAGATGTCTCAGGCTGTGTCACAGTGGAACAGAAACAAGATCCTAAAAGTCAGGCTGGACTTTGGATTTCCCTGGTATTGCACGACTACAGAGTAGCTCCTGCTGCTGCAGCAAGATATCCAACCCTTCCATTTCTGGCTCTTGACCTAACACTTCACTTTCAGGACAGACTGAAAAATCTTTGGAAAGGCAAGAAACTGCCTCCCTGGGTTAATATCCTTTAATGCTGAGAGCCCTGAACTCTTTTGATATATTTGTTCACTGATAACAGTCTCCTGCCCTCACCAAGCCTCAATGGTAGTGTTTATAGAAGGACTGTAGAACATCAAATGTCTTCTATATGTGGCACTTTGCTTAATGGAGCACTGAAGGGGGTCTGGATGCACCATCTCTTCTCTCCCCCTCCCGTATTGCACCCCCAGGTGCTCTCAGGAGGAGGCGCAGGACTGGCGGGCCTGCAAACTATAGGGTCTCATGATTTTTGGTGTTTCCTGTCCTCGGGATGGGTGATTAAAGAACATATGAGAAGCACCTCATGGTGGACACGCTGGAGAAGACAAGGAGGTGGGAGATGGGCTGAGTGGGAGCAGAGAGGCAAGACAGAGTCTGTGTTTCGCTGGGTCTCATCAGCAGTGTAGGACCAGGGAAGCTTGCAGTCACTCACAGATGCGACGTGCTTTTATGCCAGCGACTGCTGAGAGGGGACCGGGCAGCTCTGGCACATGCATCTTCTCTTGGATCAGGTGGCTGGAAACTGCATGTATAAAATCAATGCGCTAATTTGGATGTAATGACTTCCATCTCTTTGCCATCTGGCATCCGATGGCGCTTGGCAAGCCAAGTCCCGGATAAGTACTAATCATGGGGTTAACAAGCCAGCAATGTCTTCTGAAGTCACTGCTGAAGACAGTGGTCAGTGCTAGCACATGATTGTCCCCGTGCCACCTTGCAGAGTGCCTAAGAGAGGCAGCAGCAGGTCTCCAGGTAGGAGCATCCTAAGGGATCTGGAGCTGACAGTGCCTTTCCATACAGCCGTGCTGTGTGTCAGAGCATGTCCCTATTACTTGGACTGCACGGTGGCCACTCAGCATCTGGCCGCCCTGGGGCACAAGACCCTCCAGTGGGAATCCCACCATCGGTGCTGGGGCAGAGCCGTCCTGCAGAGCAGAAAGCGCAGCAGTGAGTACCGACGTTGCTAGCTCATGCCTACTCTGATGGAATGGCAGGCTGCTCCGGAGGAAATGTTAGCAGAGTCCAGATTAAACCAATAACAACATCTCAATGTGCTGGGGATTTTCCATCAACAAGAGGCAAAACAGACTGCAGATTTAGCCAATACTTTAATTATCTCTCCTCTGTGCCAAGAGAAAGAAATCTTACAAAAAACCCCCACCCAAACTCAAAAAACACAATGCAAACAAATCCAAATGCTGCAATTCTCCAAGGAGAAGGCAGGCTATTAACACAAAACCCCTTGTTTATTATACGCAGCATCACAGAACTGAAACCCTGATATCTGATTAGGTAATTTTAGTCTTTGCTTCCATATCCCACAGCATCATGAGTCACATCGGTTTCGCTTTGAAAGAAAGTGAATAGACCTGGTAGGCACTGCATCTTTGTGATGCTCAGCACACTGTGCTCAGCCAGTGGGTCCTGCCATCTCCTCTGCTGGTGCTGAGGTCCCTGAGCCAGCAGGATGGCTCCAGCAGGCAGGAGAAGGGGAGTATGGTGGATGGTCCAGGAAAGCCTGGCAACCCTGACAGTCCCTTCTCTGGAGCAGGACTCCAGGACCAGCACAGCTCCAGCTTGGCATCTTCTGGCATCTCACAAGTGATGAGAGCAGAGCTTGTCTTTCTGCTAGGCTGGGGACGCCTTGGCTGGCTTTGCCTTAGCTTAGATGAGAGGGTTTCCTTCCTTCGCAGCTCCCCAGGGAAAGGGAAGAGGAAGGATGAGATGAGTTTCATAGGCTGCAGTAGGCAGTGTCTGTCCCCCACCCCGCTATAACCCCTGGTTCCCCTTCCAGGCAAGCCTGACCAAGGATCCCTTCACCCCAGCCATGACAGTGTCAGTGCACACTTGGGGTTCCACCTTGTCCCCTTTACCCCATGGGCACCATCTCTTGCCAAGGGTTCTTGAAGAGGCATCTTTAGGGGCTCCTAGTCATGTGAAGAGAGGTGAGGAACTCGGGTTATTTGGACATCTTGTAGCCATCCAGGGCACAACCTGTACTCCATAAGCTGGCCAGAGCCTCTCCAGTAGACTCATCTGTATAAGGACACTGAATCATTTGGGCTGGAAAGTCAAAAAGTGCTGCTGTGGTGGTCACATCTCTCTGAATGTGCTGCTGGCTATGAAGACCACTAGACAAGGCTCAGACAGGAATCAAATCTCCCCTGGAGCAGTCAGGGAAATACCTTCTTGTCATGCCTTCCCACCTGGCAGAAGGCCAGAGACAGCATCTCTTCTGTGTCACCCCCCTCTGTCCTTCCAGCAGCTTGGCTGGGTCTAATCCAGGCTGGTGTTAGACACAGCTTCGTCCCACCACCCTGCTCTTGACAAAGACATCTGGCAGGTCTCTGGGGATAACTCCCTTCCCCTGATGTGCCCACAGATAGAGAACCCTGGGCTCCTGGTTTCTCCCTCCACTAGCTTCTCTGCGATCCCTCAGGTGGACAGCCTGACATTGTCTCTTTTCAAAAGCTTGCTCAGCT